GGGGTTTCCAAAAATGGAGGTACCCCAGAAATGGATGCTTTATTTCATGGAAAATCCATCTCATAAACGGATGATTTGGGGGTAGCCCTATTTTAGGAAACCCCCTAATATACTTCCCATATGTTTTTTTTAGAGGATTCCCCTGCGAAAAATAGAATCCTTTGATCCCAGAATTGATTGAGGGGAACATGTGCATGAAATTGTTTGAGAACCTTTTTGGGGATAGAAGCTGGAGTTGCAGGTACTAGGATGAAATGACCCGTGTCCATGTCTACGCATGAACTTACAATGCTGGGGTGATGTTTCGACGAAAAGGATGTAGTTTCCAGGAAAGATGTCACATGTTGAACCCCATCTTTCCTTGATGGGACGCCTTTTCACTAGGACCTAAGACCTATGACTGAGCCTTTGAATGGATAACTTCTGTGTATATAAATATATATATATATTATATGATTTATGATACTGTATATACATATAGAGGGAAAATTGAAAAACTACTCCATTGCATATGTCGCGCCGTTTGGAAGTCATGTTTTATGATATGTGTTTAGTCCAAAAATCGGACTCCCTTCAGAATCATAGTGCTCATGGGTGAAGGCTATCTCCAATGACATACCCGACATACCGAGGACGTGGTGCTTGCAACTGGTGTGCAGACTGCGGGGCAGCTCAGGGACGGGTCTGTGGCGGTGGACCGATACCCTATGGATTTTGGACATATTTTAAGCTCCAAATACAGGGGTAAAAAAGCATGTAAACCCTTCCAATTCTAGGATATGGCATGGTTTGCCGTTAATTTCTCATCACAAATTGCCATTTTGGGGTATCACGGTATCACCCATTTTTGATATACACACACGATAAAAACAAAAAAAACAACTTCATTTTTCAATGTAATTTTCAACGCGGTGGTCGTTGTGTTGATTTGTTGGATGTGAACTAGGGTGCAAGAGGTTGAACTGACCCACTCAATTGGTTTCCGGCATAGATGGTGGAATTTGCCAAGCAATACCTGTGACATTTCCACCAATTTCACTCTTTTGGTAGCTTGAAAACAGCAAAATCCCAAACAAGCAATTACAATACCTTTGGAAATCAAACCATATAAACATTCACGAATATTGTTTGTGGTTTTTGTGATTTGTTTTGAGGCTCAGATTTGCAGCTCACCCCATTTGCCTCTTGAGCAAATTCTTATTTGTCATCGATAAATCATCAATGGGTGGTGTTCATGTCCATGCTCGATTACCCCCCCTGTGTTGGGTGGTTAAGTCCCCATTTGATAGTAAATCCATGTAAATCCTAACTTGTTTTGATAGTGAAATCCACTTAAATTGTCAGAAATCAGAGATCACTTAAACATAAATCAATAATTGGTGGTTCTATCCCCACCAATGGATATACCTCTAACATCCTCTAACTTTCATAAATCAATAAATCCTCATTTCGTCAAGTTTTCCAACGTTTCAGCGTTGAGTCACGTTGAATCCCCATGTTGTTTTCGTTGACCGAGCTAAGGCCAAGGGACAGCGCGACCCTGAGGCGGTGGAAGACATCAAGAAGCGCAATGGCTGTCGCTGGGAAACCCAATGGGAACCAGAGATGTTAGCTGATTTTTAGTATTGGTATTTAGTATTTAGCATGTTTTTTGGGGCTAGGATGATACATCTATTAACATGTATTAACATGTTTCGAGATTCTTTTGGGGTTAGGACGGTTACGATGACTTAGGATTTAGGATTATTTAGGATGTGTTTGGACTGTTTTGGACTCTTTTTTGGGTAGGGGATGTCATCCACGAGAATTTAAGGGGAATAATGAAGCGACAAGGGATACAAGGAAAAATACGGGGTATCAAGATATGCTACAACCCCAGTTGGGGTTAATTCAAAAACAGATGAGGATGGATCGATACAAACAGGACCATCAGAAGGGGGTATATAATTATGGTATATACATCCATAACCACCAGCTATGTTGCTGCGAACACACGGGTCGCATTTCAAAGAAAACTCGGGAGTCAACCATCCATTTTTCAGGGTTCAACCTATGGTTCAAATCGCAAAACAAATGCGAAAGTCATGGGTGTGTGATCCCAGCCCCCTAATAACAACGATACCCGTATACCCTGATTTGATGCACTTATTTATATCATCCTTGTTGCAATTTCCTCTACAGAATCGAGGGTGTTGGCACCCCAAAAACCTTCGATTCTGGAGAGCCATCCTGCACCCCTACTTTGCTACAAAATCAAAAACCTGGGCTGGCAAGCACGCAAAAGCCATCCATTTTGGACATGTTTGGACTGTATCTTAGTAGGTCCATGATTCTGTAAATGGGGGGCCCAACCCTCAGCAGGAAGTGCACAAAACCCCACATTTTGGTCATGGAACTGATTTTGTAGAGATAAGGCTTGCGACACCCTAAGGTCTTTGATTTTCTAGGAAAGCATGCCCCTCAATGTCATATCTTCAGATCTTGATTATGTAGTGGTGAGAGATGGTAAGAGGGAATGAATTTGATTCTGTAAAGGATAGTTCCCCTGAAACCCTTTTTGCCCAACGTGTATGGATTTTGTAGAGGGAAGTCAGATGTGGAATTTAGATTCTTGATTCTGTAGTAATATGATCCATCAGATTTTGATTCTGTAGTAAAGGAACTCATGCTACAAAATCAAAGGCTGGCCATTTGGGACATCTTGGACTGACTGGTGAAAATTGTAAACAAACCCATGCTACAAAATCAAAGACAGGCATTTGGGACTTTGGATGGGACTTGTAAAACTTGTAAGTGCATTCATGCTACAAAATCAAAGACAGGCACTTTGGGACTTTGGATGGGACTTGTAAAACTTGTAAAATTTGTAAACACTTTCATGCTACAAAATCAAAGACAAACAAACAATCTCTACAGAATCGACTCTAACCAAAATCTCTACAGAATCATCCTGGAGGTTTTTACTCAAAAAAAAAAAGCATATGTTTTCTTGATACTTTCTCATGTGAGGCTATTGATTTTGTAGAAAAGATGAATTTGCCTTGTCAGATTTTTTTTGTGGAAGGTTCTTGATTTTGTAGAAGGTAACCTCCTAGTCTGTAGAGCAGAGATTGATTTAGTAAAGATTTTTTTGGTACCTGACCTTGGGGCCCTCTACTGGATCGAGGGGTCCAGCACCTCCCGCCTAATTGCAAGGGGGATTTTATATCATACTATGTGACTATGATTCTCATTAAGGACGTCCCATATGATATCCCATCATTTCCCCATTATAATACGGTATAGCCTCCTTTAGTCAAACATCGCAATGGGAAATCCGAAAAAACATGGTGAGATTTTATATTCCCATAGGGTAGGGGATTTCGAGGTGGACCCCGCTGGGTGTTGCGATAAAAAAGCACAACTAAGATGGATATGTTGGATAATAGTGGACAACTAAGAAGTTAACATTATCAAGTAAGATAAGATATCATTATCCATTATCCATTAATTATGTTATTGTTAATGATATCTAAGATAATCACAACTAAGATAATAACGGACAATATAACTACCAAAGAAGTAACATTATGTGATTCTATAATTCTATATGATTCTATATATGATCATGTTAAACTATACATATACTAAGATACGGAACACCCAACCGGAAAAAAAAAAACACGGAACACCGGGACTTCCATGGACATCCCCCGGTGTTTCAGCCGGATCCATGGGAGGAGTGATCAAGCTCACTCGCAACAACCGCGACTTGTTGGTGGACCAGGTCGTCGGTATGTCCCAACGTCGTTTTGAGTGATGGAAACATGGGGAGAACTGGGAGAACTAGCCTCTGGTAATTTAACATAGCTATGGAAAATCACCATTTTTCATGGGAAAATCCACTATTTCGACTGGGCCATTTTCAATAGCTACGTTAAATTACCAGAGGGTAGCCTCTGGTAAACGTTGAACTATGGAAAATGGCCCAGTCGAAATAGTGGATTTACCCATTAAAAAATGGTGGATCTTTCCATAGTTATGTTAGTTCACCAGAGGGTGTCTCAGAAATGAAGAGTCATGATCTGGTTGGTGGTTTGGAACATGACTTTTATTTTTCCATAATATATGGGATAATCTTGCCTATTTACTTTCATATTTTTCAAGATGGTTAAAACCACCAAGCAGTAATTGATTAAAAGAGGCATTTCAAGTGAATCAATGATCAATCAATTGTGATAATGTCAACGCCAGATTAATAAACCATGGTTTATGAAAAATGGGGGGGGGTACTCCTCCAATAGTCATTTCATCTGATGCTTAAATGGTACCCTCCCAATTAAACAGCCAAGCGGGTTATTAATCCAAGGTTGACATTATGTGATATGTCTTTCAGGTGAATGAATTGTGTGTGTGTGTTTTTTATATATTTTTTTCCAGATACAAGAAATGACAATTTCTTTAGGTGTCCCGGAACATCGCGTATGGTTTGCCTGGGTAAATTGTGTTTATATCTTGATGTGCCGATTTAATTTTTGAGCCCGACTCATTTCAACGCCGTTTTAACCGGCACAATCATTATTATATAATTATACATACTATATACATAATCGTCATGATCACAATTGACTGAAACTTGCTGGTAGTGATGCAAAGAACGTTGCACACACACACACACACACCGTAGATGGACGAATTATTCAAACCTTTTCCATCTAGTACAACCCACCCACCCCCAAAGTTCAATGTTAATGTGAACTGAGGTGCTTTGGCTCCAAAGGACAAAATAATCAAACCCCCAAAGTCACCTTTGCTAACACGTGCATTGAAACATTGAGGTCTGGGGGTCGGTGGTTCAACACAGAGCCTGTTGCAGGGTTTTAATATCATACACACACATACACATACATATATACGTCTTGTATGTGTTCTTTTGTGTAAAATAGACAATGTTGACCTATCCTATGATATATCCTATCCCTTTCTTAGTCTGTGGTCGCCATAGCAGAACTCCCTAGGGAATGGTGGATGGCTGTGCCCTGTCCCAGCGCCAGACCTACGCACAACTGCGTGAGAGTCTAGGACTGGGTCCACCTGGTACTGGCAAACCTCGTGTGAGAACGAAGAAGAAGAAGGACTCGCTGGTGAGCTCTGGCTGTGCGCTGGGGATGGTTTTAAGCTGTTACAAGTGTATACAAGTGTAACATCTACGTATATTGAATATTGGTCTATACCGGGTATCTCAGATTCTCCATGTGGGAATCAACCGCCAAGTGTTGCCGTGGGAGGAAGAAGAACGTAAGGCCAAGGAGAGGGCCGAGCGCGAAGCACGTGAACAAGAGGCCGTGCAGCAAAAATTGGGGGTTAGATATCCCCTGAAGTGGCAACGATTTTATATAGAGATTGGGAATACATGGGAATTATGATAGATAGATTGCCTGTTTTGCAATTATTTTAAACCATCGAATATGTAAAGGATGTGCCGTTGCCACAGTGCCACAGGGAATCAGCGGCACCAGGTTGAATGAAGGAGTTGGTTGCTTGTGTGCTTAGGCACTTGTATGAACAATGCATCGTAAGATATCGTAAGTTCATGTTCCTTTCTACTTGATATTGCAAAGGACGATCTGTTTGTATATTGAGCTGACAGCAGTAGGAATCTCAGTAGAAGGACTCGCATTTCCTCCGTTGATTCTCTGGATGCGACAGGAAAAAGAAAGAGAAGAAGCCGCTGAGAAGGAAAAGGCTGCAAGGACCAAGCGCGCTTGTCATCAAATTTCGGAACATATCAGAACATGTAAATGTAGATGTTCTACCTGTATGTGCATCCCAGTTTGCATGTAGCTTGATAAATAGATTTACCTCAGTTATAGATAACTATAATATTGTGTGTATAATATATATATATATATATTATAGAAATACATGTTATACACATACATGTAACCATATATTCATATGTATACATATATATATAGGGTTACATAGGGATACATACACATAGCTAATTCTGACTTCTTGCAAAGTGGTAAGCACATCCAACTGCATGTGCATGTGCATGTTTCACAGATGTTTGTCTCAGCTGCTCATCTTAAGTTCCGTAAAGTGGCGACTGCAGCCGTTCTATTGGCGTCATTTGGCGTCAACTTTGTTATCCTTCCAATAATGTGTGTCCTTTCTCCAAATGAGGATCCAGAACTATACAATTGTACTGTATGGTTATACATGTGCGCTTTACACAGAATCCATCAGAGTCTTATTCTGTACACGGTACATTCAATTGATGTTTGATTGCTCCATCAATGATACACGATGTATTTCTGAACAGGTATAGAACTCTGCATGCATGTATTTGTATATAGAGTATACATATGTATACATACTTTACATCATATGTGTACATGTATAAATATATATGATTTATATATATATATAGATACATCCTATACACCATACATCTTGCTGAGACCATTCATCGCCTACATTTGTGCGGTTGCTACATGTTCAGCACCCCATTTGCAGGAGGGAGAGGCAAATGGTCACGCACCAAGTGGAGATTGTATGTTTTCCAAAGTGCATAGCCTTCATGTTCATGTTGTCAAGTCCAGCTAGTTCTCCCCAGGTGAAAACTGCCCAAATCACTGCGATACGCCGAGGCCAAGGAAAAGGCACGTGCAGAGCGCCTAGCGAAGGACGGAGATATACTGAGATCATTGGATGAAGAGTTCTGAGCAGTTTCAACAGTCCTAGTTATTGATAGTTTAAAGCACTTAAAAGGGAATTCATGATTGATAGTTTATTTAGATTTATTTAGTGAATCCCTAGTTCATTCTTGAATTAAATGGGTATCAAATTAACCAATATTATCTTTTGGATGGCTGTCAGGGTGAACGTTTTGGGTAATGGATGATCCATTCATCTATTCGGGTGTTTTTAAGCTATACATTAGCTATACCTTTTGTGCGTAGGGAATTGTCATAATTCATGAACTTGGAATCTCCATGAAAACCAACCCGCTAAAACACTCGAACCTGTGACTGTCCCAATGTGACAGCCACTTTGCTGGTATTGTTTGTTCCTGTTTGGTCCTGTTTGTTGTTTTCATGTTTTCAACAGGTTCAAAACGTATTTTTGTTACCAGACTAGCACGTGGCCAATGTATCACCCTTCACCCTTCACCTCCAATAAATATGTCACTACTCCAAGTTAGCGAATGTGCACCCTAACCAGCCCTAATTGTTGAGATATTCCACTCTGTGTAAAACATCACTTTTTATATACTTTTATCGCTTTTATCGGACGGCACGTCTGTGTAAACACATATCTAATAGTTGAGTTGCCAGGAACGAGCTGAAAGGGAGGTTGAGGCGGCCAAGGTTGGCGAAGTCTTGAAGCCCTTGATGCAATGGTAGATATGGATGTGCCTGGAAATAGGGTATACCCCCAATTATAGCCATTGAATAGGGAACATGAGGATAATCCAATGGAAATCCAATGGATTTGGGGCTACAGTGCACTATTTTCAGACAGACCCATATGATCCCATATGGATGTGTCTGGACATGGGGATACCCATAGGCTGGTATTTATATGTGTGTGTGTGGAAGGTATGACAACAAACATTGACTAACCACAACAAGCCATCAACTTGTGGCTACCAATTTTAAGACAACGCCATAGATTATAAAGAGGAAACCGGATGATCTGAAAAAATGACTAGTGACTAGTGCTTGTTGATGTGCTTGTTCCCACAGGCTACTCATGAATTGATGTATAATTGGAGAATTCAGCTTGAAAGATCAAGTGGCCACAGTTATATACTGACCTGTTGCAAAGTGAGAAAACATGAAAAGGTGTCCATGGATTTGAGAGCTGGGGGAAACCCTGCTTACAAAGATACTGTATGCCAAGAATGCCAAAGATTCCCTTGAAAAACAATGGCACTGTTTCTTCACGATCACCTTCAGTGATTCAGACGTACCTCAAATTGTCTGAAACCGCAATCCCTTGATGTCCTATGTGCGAAAACTTTGGAACATATCCGTCTAAGTTGGATGATATTTCCAGACTTCTATCTACTGTATTTTCTTTTGCTTTGGAAGGTCATGCTACTGAAGGATGATCAAAACAAATCATCCAATTGGTTTGTTGTCCTTGGTTTCGCAAGCCGTCATGGTGGGGCAGTCGAAGGTAATTGGCTTCTTGCTGACAACCGTGTCGATGTGTTGAAGGACGAGTTTCGCACGATTGTCCGTTTTTGCCATCAAATTTGGTCCTTGACTGTCCTTGTTGCTCTCAAAATTATTCCAAATTCGGGTACCCCACAACTAATTAGTATAAATTGTCTCCTAATTTTAGTGTTTTTGGGGGTCCCCCAATTTTGAGAACCTCCCATGTTTGGTCCTCATTTCACACCAGGCTCGAGCCGAGAGGAAGCGTCGTGCTGAAGCTAGAAAGAAGGCCCTGGGGTCAGAAAAGGGTCGAAGTCGCCGTGGAAAGAGTCTATTGAAGGGGCGATGGAAGGCGAAGCTGCCAATAAAGAAATCAGAAATCTGATTTCATTTCTATTGCATTTTGTTTGATTGGCTTTTCCGTCCTGCAAGATTTTTTTTGCAATATTTTGTGCAGCGAGCGAGCTAATGGGCCTAGATGCTGAAAAGCACCTTGATAAGCGTACGTAAGCTGTTTACCAAATGTGTACAGCTTCTGCCATTTACGAATCTCTAACTAGTCCTTATTCCTAGTTGTTTGTTGTTTTTGAAATATGTACACATGTTATTACAACCTTGCTTAAAACATGGTTCTGTATGGTGAATATCGATATCCCTGTTGGTTGTATGCAGCAGTGTGTTTCTCTTACAGTAAGACTCTTAAAGAGTTTCCCATGTACGTTGGTTATATATAACATTGCGCAAATAGACATATTTAATGTGTGTTCATTCCTAAAATATGTACTTTCAAGGATCAATGGTTAGTTGCGTACCCGGTTTGTTTGTTAAATCATTAAATCCCATTTTCAAGAAACATCAAATCCCATATAAATCCCATATAAATCCCATGAAATCCCATATAAATCCCATATAAATCTAATCAAATCCTAAATAAATTCCATGAAATCCCATATAAATCCCATGAGTTTCACCGATTTTTCCCATGAGTTTTCCATGATATTCCAACCTCAATGGCCTGGTTCTCGGTTTCTCAGTTTGGGCCGATGGCGATGGCCTGAGGCCATGGAAGATGCCAAGAATGGCGTGGCGAGGAGTCCCAGTTGGGGTGTTTTCTGACAGCTCCAACACTAAGAGCATCAATAGAATAATATAGTGGTATATCTTGTGTATTACTCTTGGTGATCACTAATTAATATATCTATTCTATCATATAGTGATACACCATAAATAGTGATACACCAATGTATATTAGATATATGGTGTATCACTATTTATGGTGTATCTATAGTATTTAGAATTCATATATCATATATCTATATATATCTATATATATATATGGTAAATGATAACGACCTCACTGTTCTACCGAGCCCTGGAATCATGGTTAGTAAGAGGAATCATCCCAAAATGGCCTTATTTCAGGTTAGTGAAATATTATAATTTACCCAGATATATACAATAGATACACCATAAATATGATATTAATAGAATTTTATAGTATTGGTCTATGTTAATACAATACATACAATAATATCCTGAAATAAGATGAAACATATAATGTTTGATTTAATGACACAATATGATATTAACCTAATATGTGTTGCTTTATAATCTAATCTATTTTGATCTAATACAATGATTTGTTTAGAGAGAGAGGTTATTTGCTGCATTCATCTGGGATGAGGACTGCAGGATACCAGGGTTTGGAAACGTCGTAGATGGTGTTGAATCCCAGAGACAGAACCCTCGACCCACTGAGCACCTCATGTTACATAGCTGCACCATGTTGCACCTGGTTTCTCCATGCGATGGGTGATGACCCTGATGACCCCACAATTTTTCAGGAGCTTTATGCTCCAACTGCAAACAAACCCTACGAGGTTCCCTGTGTGGAGCATGAAGATGCAGATGATGTGGAGGAGTCGAGTTGCGGGGTGCTACGATGTGGGGAAGACGGCATCATTTCCGGATGTGGTAAACCCAATACCATAAACCTACTATGACTGGGGATGGTTTTTACAACCCATAAAAATGGTGATTTTGGGGATGGTTTATGCAATCGGGTTTACTGGTTTACCACACTTGGGAACTTGGAAAGCATCAATTCGATGGACTTCAATCCAGACATATCCAGACATTCAGATGTGAGTACATAGCATGCACAATCATAGTCATAGACATTCATAGACCAACAAGAACAAAAGGTATGCAGTACGTAGTATATAGCATGTAGCATACAAGTTTAAGCAAGATCT